TATATATATAAATAAAGAAGAATTGAGATAAGCACAGATCTGAGCAAAACGGACATAACATGTTTTTTTTTCTCACTCTCTCTTTTATAAATAAACGGTGTTGCTGTTGACATATGCCTGTTTAGGCAGAAGGGTGCGATTGTTCTTGTTTTTCAGCGCCATCTATGGCCAAGAATTCGACTTCTGCTGCACCATAAGTCGCACCCGTTTATAGGGCGGACCCATTCACACCTTCATTCATTCATCCACAGATCGTAATTTTGACCTGAATCAGAGAACGATCGATCTCCAATCCAGTACCCCCAGAGGTTTTGATTTGCTATCTGAACATGGAGGACTTTTGCGACTCGACAGATTTAACGTGCATCAGTCATTTTACTACACGGGGAGTCTTCGGCCTCGGGGTTCGAACCCACGAACTCTCGGACTCTCCAACGGCCTACCGACCAGGCTATCTTAGCCCCACGTATAAATAAACGTTAATTTTCTAACATAAATGTCATTAAAATTGTATAATTAAATATCAATCTTATTAATTATAAGCTTCTTAGAATTATCCAGTATAATATTATTACCCTGCTTACATCTATTTTCGGGCCAATCCTTGGTAACTAACAAATCAAATGCAATTCGTTACTGCAGTAAGAACGCGCCATAAAACAAAATCTCCCTATTTAAGATTCTTACTCCATTTGCGCTTCTGTTTTCATACTTTGTAATCTGGCAATCTTATTACAAAAATATTTTAAATCTTGAATTTCGCTACTAATTCTTGAAAGTTTCCGGTACATGTAAGTTCATTTGATTTCGTTACTCGCTTTACAGATTTCTTTTTGTGTTTTGTTCTGTATTTTCTTTACATTTTATTTTTTGCGGGATATATTTCTACTTAATGTGTTCTAATTTGTTTCAAATTTGAGTACTCCTCACACTATTATATTGATATATTTTGTTTTGGCTATATTGATAAAATATTAGAAAGTTCTTCGTTTTGCTGTTATAATTGTGTGAGTGATTAGGGTAAACCAACCAGTAAAGGAACATCTCATAGATATTTTTTAAAAATTATTTTTTTTTGTATTTTAATCATTATGCAGGATCTCAAAACACCCAAATGAAACCCATCAAGCTGATTCTTGTAGTTTTGCTCCTCTACCAGACAGATGGATTAAGAAACCTAACTTTTAAGCAAGTCACAATTTCACAACATGCAAAGATGGTTCCCGAAATCCCTCAAGACAACATCATCTTGTCGTGGATGAATACGGAGGCTGCATTAAAGAAAGCGTACTTGAACCTGATTAAAAGTTTATTAACGAATTCATTCGGCTTGTCTCTCACTACTAATATATCTCAAAATTGTACTCACAGTTTAATTGAATACTTAAATGGATTGAGGAATATGAAAACCTGGGCTTTCAAAAGTAAGATTTCTATTTTTGAATTATCTACTAAGCTACTCGATTTTTCTCTCTCACGATATATATATATATATAACAAAATTAATAAATACAAGAAAACACAAAGAAAGTTAAGAAAAACAATAAGTTTCATTTATTGCTCATAAGCTGCAAGTAAACAGAACTCATTAGATAAGTACAAAATGAAGATAAAAACAAGGAAAAATTAT